GGGAGATCTTGCAGGAAGTGAGCCTTGACAGCTGAATCAGGAACTGGCTAAGGAAGCTGCAGCCTGGTCCAACCATCAGAAAGCAAGAGACCCACCTGAGAACTAGAAAGGCGAGGCTCACTGAGCCATTTATCTCTCTGCCCTTCAATTAACTCCACATGTGTTTTTCGGCCAGGTTGGCACAATAAACTTTAACTATCTCAAACATGTAGGGAAATTCAACCACTATTTCTTATATGTAAATGCTCAATAGGTGGAACTAAACTTCCCCAATTTATCCCTGTGAACGTTCAGACTGACAGCTTTTTATCTTAAACATGGTGCAAATAATTTTATTTATTAAGTTCACAATATAACCAGAAGGAACACCATTTAAGTACTAGTAATTTGATTCTTTCTTTCTTTTTAAAAATTGAACCAGAGAATATTCCATCCAAATAATCTAACCTATTGTCGGTCTGGCTTCTGTACAATTTTTTCATTAGGCATCTTTCAGCTAAATAATTCAGTAAAATATTATTGACTCCTTACTTCTCTACCAACAGCCCATTCTCGCTATATCATAGAATCCAGAAATAATTAAAAGGAATTCAGCTTGGGTAGCTCTTCTTGCTCGGATGTCTCTGGAGAAGAGAGTGGGAGGGAAGGGAGAGGGTCTTATTTGCATCTAAACATAAACAAACCTTTATTCACTAGGTTAGAGACCCTCTGTTGCCCTGTAACAGCAGATTGGAATGTCTCCAGGTGAATGCTACTCCATGCCTGCTATCTGATGCCAGCCCTGAGAGAGAAGACCAATCCAGAGGCACAGAGTTTAAGGAGTGTCCGTCCTAAGCGGTCTCTTTGGTTTCTTTTCCTGGTTGCCACTCCTCAGAGGACGCGTACACTGACAGCCCTCAGCCAAACAGATCCAAGCTGGAGCTGAGCCAAGAGCCAGCAGCCCTGTTTAAATCTGGGCAGCAAGGTGGCAGGGTGCTCAGGGACTGGCCAAACGAAAGCATGCGGGGCCTGCTGGGCAGCAGCTGGAAGAAGTTTGGACCGGCTGGCCGAGGGACGTATGAGTGGTTGACCAGTGAACCCAGCCTGCCACTTGTGGAGACCCAGCTGCAGGTCTGTACCTAGCATCTCTGCCTTTCCCTCGCCCTGCATCCTCTTAGTTTTAATAATCAACCCTGCCTCTTGTTTTAGGGAGCTCAACATTTTGCCTTTTGCATATCTAAGTCCATCCATTAGCATCGTACATGGCAATGAACCTGCACATTTGAATTTTCTTTTTTAATGCAAGTAAAACTTGCCACAAATGTAGTTTAAAGTTCAAAAAATGTCCTAAGGTACTGATAAGGTGTTAACAGATGCTGTGAGCCTTTTTGTTTCAAATGTGCTCTTTGTTGAGCAAACAATAGCTGTATTCCCTTTCCCTCTTGGGATAGTAGAAGGGCCACTGTTAGGAGTTCAGAGAAACCGGGCATCTCCCGGCAGTGAGGAGAGCGAGGTTTTGTTTCTAGGAACTGTTGCAGATCGCCTGGCACGTCAGCACAGTAACCTCCCGGAGTCTAGACGGTGTGGAGGAAGAACTATTGTAGAAACGTGAAAAGACAGAATTGATATGGAGCGTAAGATCGCTGGGCCCACACGGAAGAAGGAAACAATCCAGGGGTTTCCTTTCAGGAAAATCACCTGGTGAGACTGGCGTCTGCATCAAGCTCTCATGCCCTTTGTGACCTGTCTCTGTCAGCAACCGCGCCACTCCTGGCAATGTTAACCAGTTAACCAATGTTAACCAGTTAACCCAGGCCCCGAGCAAAGGCCTGGAGCCACTAGAAACCACCTCGGAAAGACTCACTAAACAGCTTTGAGGGGAGCGAACAAATCCAAACATCTGACTATAAAATGAAAGACATCCTTTGCACATCAAACACTCACACGCTTTTTAACCGATATACCAACATGAGGCAGCAAATAAATGAAGAAGACCATAGGAAAGGGGCCCTTTAATTCTGTACACATAGCTGGGAATAAGATTTCTTTATTCAAGAAAACCATCCTAAGCTGCTATAGTAGAGAAAAAGCTTTCTGGTGCCATTCGGTGTTCGGACAGTGGAAAATCTGATTCCAGGAGGAGATGACACCGTATCTTACTGTCCGTATTTTGGCAACAAATATTGACAATATCCTAAGTGATGTAATTGTAAATGATAGAATCTACTACATGTAATCCTTGAAATAGAGCATTAACTACCATGTATATAGTCCAGGGAACTGCTCACAGCTGATCAGACACAATTACTCTTCCTATTTTTGATGAAGAAAAATAAGTTATACAAAATAGCCCATGTTTACATGAATTTACAAAGAGTGATTGTTTCACGAACTGAAATGTTTGACAAGAGCTGTAACATTTCTAATGATCGAGCAAGACAAGGCAACAAATCAATGTTACATTTCCTCTGGTCTCTAATTTGATTTCTTAATACATGTAGTAAACTCATTTATGAGTTCATCCATTCTGATAGCTTTTATAATTAAAGTACCTTATAACATCATAAAAGATATTTACATTAATAATTCTGTTCGACTAGATTATTGTGAGAAAACAGAAAGAACCCAAGCCTAGAAATATGGCTTTCAAACAATCAATAAAATATGTTATGGAAATGTTTTCTGATAGTCCCTAACAATTTAAAATGAAAATTTATTGATGTCAGGCTTATTTTCACTGTATTCTCTAGCCTTACACGGTCAATCACTTTCTCAATTTCCTCTTTAGGACTTTGAGTCAATTGGACCATTTGGAACCCTGAGATCTAAATAGATAAATATTCACCAAGTAGTTTACACATGATCATTTGGTTGCCATGCTAACCCTCCAAAGTGGATAATCTGATCTCCACTTCATAGATGAGAAAACCAAGGCTCGGCGTAGAAAGTGAAGAGTCTGTCATCACACAGCCATTGGAAGGCCACTGCTGTCAACCGCAAAGACAAGGATCTGATTTCTAAAAGCCCTTTCTTTCTCATGCATGTTAAGCTAACTTATCTTAATTCAAGGGCAAGATACCCAGCTGTACAAACAGTCAATAAATCTTGCAACATCGAGTCAAAACACACACCGTTGTACGTTCTTTAGCGTATAAGAGTTTACAAACGCAATGCGAGATAATCCTCGTCTCTCAAGCTCAAGACCAGCAAACCATTTGCCATTTTCAACACAATTAAGAACCTTCGTTTTCATGGTCTAATTATAAGTTTTATTTTAAACTATTAGTGGGGGAGAGGTGTTGTAGATCCAGTTACCAACGCGATCCAGTAGATTCTAATAGTCTTCCTATCGGACAGAATACAGCTGCCTCTGTGGGTTTCCGACATTGTCCATTTTTATGGTACTAGAACTGCGTTTCCTTCTCTTGAGGAGCTGCTACTGTATCAGAGATCTAAGTCTTGGAATCTCTTACTTTTCTCCAGAAGAGTAGACACTAGTGTGTTTGTTACTGTGTGTTTTCTGTGATGGAGAAACTCTTTCATACTTGGCTCTTTCTAGCTTTATTAAAAGAAAATGGCAACACAATTCAAGGTGATATTTTTTCAGATAGTTTGTCTCTTGCTATTGACGCATCAACTCATATCTGGTATATTAGTTACTCCACCAGGAACCATTATTTTTGTGAACTTGTATTTCCTAGTTGCCTAAGAAGTTATGTGCAGTTTTCTTTAAAACAGTCAAAATTTCCTATGCCCTACAAATGGTGCACAACATTGAAAGCACTTTAAATTCACTTGTCAGCCATCAAATCAAAATCCAAATATTATTTTTATATAGGACAAACACCTAACCATGTAAGAGTTTGTTCCCATATGAACTTTGTGCAATAAAACAGCGTTACTGGTCCAAACACCTTGAGGACTTTCCTTGATTTGGAGGTTTGGCTGTTAAGTACAGTAGAGTCACGGTTCTCGCTCACAGCCACTCCATGTACAACCAAGTACAGCACTGTCCTCACAAGTGGGGCTATATGTGAGCCCGTTGCTACAGGCACTGTGTTGAGTCTATCTTGTTGAGTCTTCCTCTTTAGTTTTTGGGACAGCCTAATCAATGGATCCAACATTGTTTCTAAGTATTTCTCTTCTATCTCCTCATTCATAAGGCAGTGCTTGGGTTTTAAAAGTTAGCAAACAGCCACCCAAGGTACAATAAATTATCCCTACCCACCTGGAGCAATAAAGGAATAAGGAGATGGAAGAATTGAGGGAGGAAACAGTACCTTTCTGTTGTTTACATGAACAGCTATCTCTTTTGCCATGAGCCCATAAGAACTAGATGGTGGCCTCTGCCACACTGATTCTAACCTTGCAGAAGACAGCCCCACTGGTGAGCACTATACCACCAGGGCTCCCATATCGTAAATATAGTCAGGTTAAAATATATAACATCTTGTTTGACCCACCTTTTGACTGATTTAAATGTTGTACCTGTATTTTCTAAAAGGAGAAATGCACATGGTTTAAGCCTCCAGTGAACCCCTCTAAACATAGCCCCGGGGATGTGAAAGCATTTCTTTCATGGAGAGTGCACTGGAAAGTGGATTATGGCAGGTGTGGCCAGGTAAAAATTTACGCCAGACCTTCTTTTTGATCCATTTTAAAGTTCTAGTTTTTAATATTTTCTGTTTTCAATTGTGGTTTTTCTCTAGTTTGTTAGTGTTACTGGCTTTTTTTTTGGTTCTTTGGTCTTGTGTGCTTTTAGGTATATGAAAGCCAGGATGGGTGAATCTACAGACAGTAACTGGATTAACGGTTTCTTGGGGGTGTGGGCAGGAGAGGTTGGAGGATAATGTGGAATTAATGAATGACAAGCAAACGAGAATGCATAAAGGCTCTGAAATAGATTGTGATAATGATTACACAATTATCCTTGATGTGGTTGAACAATTATTGAATTGTGTGATGTGTGAATTTTGTCTTAAAACTTTTTTTAAAAGGAGGAAAAATGGAGAACAGAATTTCAATTTCTCCATGGAAGCCAGACTTTCTAGAGGCATTGAGTCCTTGAAGTTTTACCCTGTGATGATCTTTAAACATTAAACCTTAAACAAACTATCCCTGGAAGTATTCTTGGCACCAGAACTTTTTTTTAAAATTTTGAACATTTTGCTCTTTTGAAGAATGGCCCGTGTGAGGTCAGATTGATAACTGCAACTTGAGGAGGAGATGGCTGCACAACGTGCAGGACGCACTCCTGTCAGTGAGTGGCATATGTCCAAGTTGGTGTAATGGCGTAGGACTGTGTCACACACTCACTGGTGAAGTGGCTTTACATATAGCCAGTACATACATAGCATGCGTTCCTATTCAAAGAATGAATAGTGGATCTACTCACTAAATGTCTTTTTTAGAGTTTACTTTGGTGGAACTATATAAGCACTACATAGTTTTGGGGATTCCGACTGAATTCATACTTTACGAGGAAAATCCACTTTAGCTCAGGATGTTCGCTCCTTGGTATAAATAAGTGGTTATAGTGATTTTAAAATGAATGATGGGGAAAATGTCCCTAGGTAGGACAAATGGTTTACACACAACAACGTAAAAGTCGGTGGTGGGAGCCTACCCAGCAGTGCTGCAGAAGAAAAGTCCTGGCAATCTGAGGATTACAGCCAATCTTTCCTCTATCTATGCCCAAGACACTGCTAGGGTTCTCATCTACGTTCCCACAATGCCATGGGCTACCTATCTATGTCTGCCGGTACTTACCACTTCGGAAGTATGGGCGTTTCTCCTCTGTTCTCGGGCATCCTTGAAGACAAGGTTGTTATGGTGTACCTACTCCTGTAAAGGCTGAGTCTCAGAAACTTACAGAGGCAGTCCCATCCTATCCTAGCGGGTCGCTGTGGACGCAACAACACTGAGTCGCATGGCGAGAAAAATACAGGATGAGGAAAGAGAACTTGCGGCCTTAGAGATGCAGGGCCTTTGCTCTCCCCTCTCCTAACGCTCGTCTATTCCCTACCTCCAGGGCACCCAGAGGACAAGTTCCACCAAAGACGATGTGGAGCCCTTCCTGTGCATCCTCCTGCCGGCCACCGTCCTGCTCTTCCTGCTCTTCCTGGGGCTTCTCCTCTACTGCCGCTGCACGGCCCCCCGGCCACAGGGACAGGTCTTCAGCATTGACCTCCCCGAGCACCCACCAACGGGAGAGGTGACTGACCTTCTGCCAGGCTTACCCTGGGGCAGTGAGCAGGGCTTCCCATACTCGCCCCTGCCTGCAGAGGGGGCTCTCTTCTCTGTGGGCCTGCCGCCTTCCTATGAGGAAGCCACCAGGAAAGACCCTGGAGAAGGAGACCGAGATAAAGTCCTTCGGTATGAAGGGGCCTCACCTGGACCGCAATTAGCACAAATAAGATGCTCTTAGAAACCCCTCAAAGAGCAGGCCTCGGTCTTGCAGAAGGGTAACTATGCCCCAAGCCACCATTCATTGGCCAACTCCTTGATGGTTAAGACTCTGGGCCGGGGGTCAACTGGAGAAGTGTCTTATTTCTTGAAGCCATGTCAAATTCCTTAGGGAAAAGTTTCTTCTTGGCTTTCTTAAAAAAAAAAAGGCTGCATCTTCTGAAACTACACAGTACACCTGAGAAAAGGAGGGAAATTCGGTATGTCGAGAAAAAGAATGAGCATTGACACTAGCTCTGAAGACAAAGAAAAAGAAAGCACCAGGCAAGCCAAAGGCAACTGCTTTTGCCACAAAGGAATACTCTTCTTCCTCCACCAGTTTTTCAGGACCTCATAGTTTCATGGGCTACAGTTTCAAGATGCACAGAAGGCTCGAGAAGCCGTGAAAGATACATCTAGAGCTGCAGTGGTCACTGGTTGTGGTACAAATTATGGGCTTAGGTTTTCAAGACAGAACTTGGTTTTCAATATTAATAATGAAAGTCCAGGTACCTACAAACATTTTACTTAAAAATGAATCAGGCATTTCCCACATTATCTCACGTGCCACGTCTCTCTCATTCGCTCGTCTTCTGGTGTGCTTCCTTGACCGGGAGAGGGATGTGGCCAAGCTAGGGGAGAAGGACTCGCCCTAGATCATCAGGGTCACTTGTGCCATGGCAGGAGAGAGAGTGTAGCAAGACCATATTATCTGGCTTTGACTGTGATCATCACCAAGCAACAGTCACAGAGCAGAAAACAGCGCCACAGTGGGAACTAGAGACCAAAATGTTGCATCCCATGGTAGAGAGAATCACAGCTCATTAGCTCCCACAGGACCTTGCAACCCACACGGAGTTCAAACTCTTGGTGGACAGATGTGAACACTGGAGCTCGAACTAAGTGACTTGCCCCATGTCCGAGGCAGAACATGAAGCCTGGCTTCTCTGCCCCGGGCTACAGCACTTTTACTGTGACCACGTTCTCCCAGGGACATTGCAAACGTGGAATTTCAGCCCACAGTGCTGGTGGGGCTCAGGGCTATCAGCAGGATGAAGACACTGAATGGATATAAATCTCTGTCGGTGGGGAAGCTGGGTCATGATGGGGACAACATGCAGTAGCCATGAGTCTGTTGCAACTTCTGGGGACTTCATGCAGGACAGCACTGAGCTCCCTAGCACTTCCAAGTCTGGGACTTTTCAGAAGTAGGCCCCCAGGGTAGACTCAAACTGCCAACCTGACTGTTGTTAACTGTGCACACTGCCCAGAGATTCCATATCAGGATATTCAGGGAGGTGGAGAAGAGACAGGGAGGTACATGTATAGTTCTTAAATTTTTATTTAATGCCATCATTTATCATTTATATGGCAATTTTTTTTCTTTCACATTAAAGAAACATAAAACTAGGCAAGCCTTTTGTGGATAAAAATACAGGGAGGGGAATGTGCATTTCCCCCCTACTTTAACATGACCATTTTTATGCTAATATGCGATGTGGTACCATTTTAGAAAAATAAAAAGTGAGCAAAAATATGTCTTGTTTCATGTAATCTGAGAGAGAGAGAGAGAGAATCATTGAGGACTCAAGCAAAGTACAAGCTATTTGGGTGAAGATCAATAAGGTTTCTTTCAGGAACACTGTGCTAACAATTTCCTAATCTTCCATAGGGGAAGGGAAGCAAAGAAATGGAAATGAGGTCAGCAGACAGCCTTCTTTGTTTTCCTTATTTAATAAGCTAGTTCTGCAGAGGACTCTTAATTCCGCCGCCAGCACATCCCTCCTCCCCCTTTGCTGCCAACAGAACTCAGATTTGGCGCCAGTATGCCGAGGTTGCCTACTTAAAAGCGAGCAGAGTCCCTGACCCTGCCAAGGGCGCATCAGGATCGTTTAGAATGGGACCATCAATCCCTTCACTGGGACTAGCATGGTCTTTGGGACCAAAGGAGAGATTTACTGGGGAGAGGTCTGTTGTTTAAGAAAAGGATGGCTTGCTATTAAAAACAAACACTGAGGAAAAGCCCTGCCTTGTTAGCTGAATGTCCCACACCTGCGTGTGATGCCTGGGGCTGGGGCACCCTGAGGTAAGGCATTGGCATCAGGTCTGTATCAGATTCTGAGGAGGGTAGAGAGATGGGAAACACACCAGAGAGCAGCTCAACTAGCCCTGTGACTGCCTCTATTTCAATGAAAGCATACATTTTCTGTGGTAATAAGCAGAGA